GCGGTCGTGGAGGTGGTGCTGCAAATATGAAGAACAGTTACAACGAGATCGAGTCGAGGGACGATCGCTTTCCGAGTCGATTATTCTTCGTGTCAACGCAAGCACCGGCTGCACCAGAGAAGGATGAAGGCTTTGAGGAGCCTGCTGCTGTAGGGAAGGTGACCCTACACTCCCTGGACTATTGGGTGATCAATAATGGCGCTACCTATAGCATGACACCTTGTGCGGTCTTGCTCACCGAACTCGAGCCGTCACCAGTCAAGCATGTCACATCGGCTTTGGGGCAGCAAGCAGAGGTTAAAGGCATGGGCAAGGCCATGTTCAAAGGTGCTGATGGGAAGATGGTGGGCCTCAAGAACGTGCTTTGGGTGCCCAACCTTGCTGCCAACCTGATTTCTGTGCAGTGGTTGCAAAATGCTGGCATGGACATGAGCCAAGACCTATACCGCAAGGATTGGCGAGCGGATTCTTTGGGAGCTTTACAAGGATAGGGATGTCTACAATAAGATGTGGCAGATCCCTGTGGTCCCCATGCCTAATGAGAGGCAAGTGGCAGCAAGCTTCAGCACCAGATGGTAGCGGCAATGGCGCGAACGATGGCACTTAGGAGAATGAGTCCAAGAAGTGCAATCTTGGAGGAACCAGCAAGCTCAGTGAACACAAGGAGAGTGCAGCAGCTAAGAAGCAGCACAAGGGTGAGGATAACCCCAAGGCAGCAGCGGAGGAGGACTACGGAGAGAGCATGTGGGGCACTATTGCAAGTGCGACATTCTCCAATCTGACTTCGGCTACGGGGGAGTGTGATTGCCTCACCTTGTATCGGCAAATGGGGCATGTGGCCCTGCCCATCTTGCAGCAGCTAGTGAAGAATGAGATGGTTGCTGGCATAAGTGTGACAGGGGAGCCCAATAAGGTACTCGGCTGCCCGACGTGCATACAAGCCAAGTTCACCCGTTATCCGTTCTCTAGTTCGGAGGCAACAGCTAAGGCACCAATTGATGAGGTGGTGATGGACGTGGTGGGCCACTTGAAGCTTAGAGCTGCTGGAGCAGAGTACTTCCTCACCATAGTCAACGTCTACACCTGCATGACTTGGGTTTATGTGCTGTCCAAGAAGAGCAACACGCCTGAAACGGTGAAGACCGATTGGTTGCCAATGGTGGAGCAGCAACCTGACCAGCTAGTCAAGTCAATCCACAACGATGGAGAGGAAGAGTTCCTGAGCAGACAAATGGGTGCCCTAAATGGAGTGGATTGGAAGGAAGCCTAAGGTGGATATGCTTCGGGTGTTCGTGTGCATGTGCATGGCGCTCGTGCCTAAGCATCTTCGACACAACAAGCTCGGTGCCAAGGCGATATGGGCCGTACATTTGAGCATGGCTCAAATCAGCAAGGGGTGGCTTCTTTGGGACCCATTCACCAATAAATTCTTGGTGAGCAGGGACTGCAAGTTCATGGAGAATGCCTATCTTCACCTCTACAAGGATTGGAAGGCGGAGAACAATGCGAAGATAAGCATGCGGTTTGCAGAGGTGAAGAGTTCCGGTTTGGAGCATGTGGAGCTACCTTTGGAGCTGAGCAGTGGCAGCACCACCACAAGGCAATCTTCCCTTGTGAATGGGGGAGAGGAGGCCAAGGATGCAAAGGAAGAAGAGGAGGAGGTGCAGCAAGTGAGCGAGCGTGCACCGACACTTCCTTCTCTCACTACGAGTGCTCCACGGATCCGAGTCACCCCACAGCAACACCAAGGCCTTCATGTCCCTGCAGCTGAGTCGGAAGGAAGGGGCAAGAGGAGACTTCAAGCCCCTAATAGGCTGACTTATGATGCACCAGGAAAGAAGGGCAAGTCAGCCCTGGCCGGATATGTCGAAGAAATTGAGCTCGAGGGGTGTGCGTTCGTGATCTTCTCTCCGGAGAAGATGCCGGGAGAACCAGCAACTCTCAAGGAGACCTTGGAGAGCACTGATGGCGAGGAGTGGAAGAAGGCAATGGAGAGCAAGCTGAAGAGCATTAAGGAGAAAGACATGTGGGAATTGGAGGAGTTACCGGAGGGGCGTAAGGCGATAACTTCCAAGTGGCTCTTCAATATCAAGTCCGACGCCGACGGCAAGATCCAGTGCTACAAGCCTAGGCTTGTGGCCGAGTACCAGCAGAAGGAGAAGGTGGACTTTAAGGAGTTGTTTGCTCCTGCGGTGAAGCCGACAACGTTGCGGACCCTACTCGCAGGGGCTGCTATCAAAGGATGGGTGGTGAAGTAGATGGACATGACAACCGCATTCCTCAACGGCATTCTTGAAGAAAAGATTTCCTTAGCGCAGTTAGAGGGGTTTGATGATGGCAGAGATTAAAAGCTGAAGAAGGCCCTCTATGGGCTGAATCAGGCCCCTTGGCAGTCGTACTTGAATCTGCGAGAAGTTTTGGAGGAAATTGGCTTCACTCCCTCAACGGCTGATCACTCCTTGTTCATCCTTGGCGAGGGGGAGCAGAGGAGCTTCATGGTGGTCTATGGGGACGGCATTCTCATCTTCTCACCCTCCTCTGACCTCCTAAATTCAATTGTAAGGCCCTTGGTGATGTGAACATCTGCCTTGGGCTTCACATCGAGCGCGACGTGGAGAAGTGGTGCATGCGGGTGCATCAACGCAAGTACCTAGAGGCGTTGGCTGCCAAATTTGAGCATATTGAAGATCATGTGGCTATTCCATTCCCTTCTGGTTTCAAGTGTGTGAAGGGACCAAAGGAGGATAGCATTGACGAAGAAGAGAGGCGCCGTTTTCTCTCGTTGGTTGGCAGCCTCATGTATGCAGCGGTAAACACCCAACCGAATGTCGCATTTACTACAAGGCAGCTGGCTAGGGTTGTGCAATGCCCTAATGAGGAGCAGGTAGCAGCTGGAATGAGGGTGGCCAAGAATGTTGGCCAAAACACTGACCGCTGGGCTGCAATACTCGGCGGCGGTGCAAAGGCGCCAAAAGGGAGCGGATTGTGTTGAACCCGGGTGTTTGTTCCTCACCGCATTCTCGGATGCTTCTTATGCATCAGAACCAGAGGACATGACAAGTGTGAGAGGCTTCATCTGCTGTTTTTGTGGAGGCCCGACTACTTGGGAGAGCAAGAAGCAGGTGCACCAAGCATTGAGCTCGGTGGAGCCCGAGGACATGGCTCTCTTCCGTGCGGTACGGGAGATTGTGTGGCAGAGGCGTTTGTTGGCTGAATTGGGGGAGGAGCAGCAAGGACCTACCCCACTCTACTGTGACAGCTAGGGTGCCATTGCACTAGCTAAGAACCCCGTGTTGCATGGCCTCACCAAGCACATGAGGGTGAAGTGGCACTGGACGAGGAGCATGGTGGCCGAGGGTGAAGTTGAGTTGTGCTTCGTGAAGATGACGGGGCAACCAGCTGACATGATGACCAAGAGGCTGGTGGAGCAGCGGCATTGGAAGTGTTGCAAGATGGCTGGGATGGCTCTGAACTAAGAGAACAAGTTCCTAAGGCCAAAAATCCGAGGGGGAGTTTGTTGGTGCAATCCTATGGTTTGCACTCGGCTTGTTATCTATGTGCGAACATGCGTGTATGCATGGAATGGTATGAGGGCATTATATAACATATATTTCATGCTTATATTACTGTGTGAATAATGAGGCATGATGTTGAATGTGTGTGTGTCGAGTCAATAGCGAGTTATCGCTAGTCGCCCGTCACGCGGTCGTTTGTGTCCCGTGCGCGGTTTCTATTTTGTCGTCTGTCTCGTGCGCGGTTTCTATTTTATCGTGTGTGGAACGTTCGGTGTGTCGCAAGTGTGTGCAACAGACCCATCAAAAACTTAATGATGAGTTTATGGTGAAGAACCAGAGCTGTGGTTTCAAGATTCAAGTTATCGCGAAGCCTGCGAAAAGGGTTGCACCTCAAGATAAAGAGAATAGTTACATTACTTTGTGTAATGTAACTTTTCACTTGGTGTAGGCCCTTGTGAAGGGTAGTTTCGAGATCCTTCGTAATTGGGGACAGTGTGGCACTGTTCCACATCACTGCACCTTGGCTCTTGGGATTTGTAGGAGCTGGAGTCATCCCCAACTCGTAACTCTTCCTAAATTGTGTTCTAAGACTATTGTGGCTGCCATAGTGCCGATCGTTCAAACCGACGCTGTGTCATCAATTCTTAATCAAATCGTGTGCTCTAAATTGTATATTGTAGGAAACTTTAAGAAGCTCGAGATCCAAGTTGAATCAGGTCATTTAAAGCCGTGACCAAAACGCTATGAGTGTTTATAGCCGCTGTGCAGAAATCCGATTGTGCACTCTGTTGGTGCAACCCTACGGTTTGCACTCGGCTTGTTGTCCGTGTGCGTGCATGAGTGTGTGCATGGAATGGTATGAGGGTATGGGATAATATATATTATATGCTAATAATGGTGTGTGAATGTTGAGTCATAATGTCGAGTGTGTGTGTCGAGTCAATAGCGAGTTATCGCTAGTCGCCTGTCACGCGGTCGTTTGTGTCCCGTGCGCGGTTTCTATTTTGTCGTGTGTATTGTGCACGGTTTCTATTTTGTCGTGTGTGTGGAACGTTCGGCACCATGTCCTGTAGCCACATGTGGCGACGGTCCACATGCTTCATGCGCCCTTGTAGTGACTGTCCACGGCTGAGCTGCACCGCTGACATGTTGTCGACGTACAGGGTAGTGGGGACACTCTTCTTGAGCAGTTGAAACTCCCACAGCAGGATTCTTAGCTTGCGCCCCACCTTTCCCACTTCCACCGCAGCCACAAGCTTGCTCTTGGTGGAGGAGAGTTTGGTCGTACCCTGCAGCTTCTTGGCCTGCCATGAAACGGCAGCTCCGCCAAGCTTGAAGACGTAGCCTCCCGTGGACGACCGGTTCTCCTTGTCGCCTGCATCATCCGCATCCGCATACCCTACGAGGGTCAAACTCTCTGGTCCTCCCTTGAACAGCAGCCCCTTGTCCGGTGAGGCAGCCTAGTAGGAGTTTGTGTGGAAGAGCTCATGCCAATGCGCATCGGTCCTGAGGTGTGCACCTGCTGCAAGGCGACTGCATGCAAAAGAGAGGTCAAGACGGGATGAGATGGCTGTAAACTGCACCATGCCGAGAATTGACAAGTACTCGCTCATGGTACGGTTGGCAAACTGCCCGGCATCCTGCTTGGCAAAGCTGGCAGAGGAGAGAGGAGTGATCGGCTGCTTCTTTGGTGGCGCCCCCTTGAAGAACCGCTGCTGCACCTTTGCCACGTACGCATTCTGGTGAAGGAGGAGTGTTTTGTTGGGGTGGTCGCGCACAATCTGCAGACCAAGATAGCCTTCCGTGGATGACATGTATTCCACCACGAGGAGACCTTTGTCCACCACCATGCCTTCAGGTCCGGTCAAGGTTACTCCGAGGTTGACGATGATGCTCCTCAATCCCCCTTCCTCCTCATCAGCCTCATCCAAGTACTCCACATCATAGTAGATGTCTGTGCCATAAGCACCTCCTGCAAGGAATGCAATGCCGTACATGTTGTTGCCATCAACCGCATCCGAGGCCGTCATGGTGGATGCGGGAAGCCAAACAGGTGGCATGCCCTTGTTGGACCTGCTAGAATGACATGGGTGTGGGGGAGTGGGCTGGAGGGGCGGAACCGTGGGTATGGGGTCCTTCCCATGAGTTGCCGCTGATTTCAGGTCCGTTGCCTCTCCTTCCTTATCTTCATCAGCTGCACGACTTTCATCCGCAGAGGGACCAACCTCTGGTCCCACAGGTGCCAAGTCAGCAGCTAAGGATGGACAGAGAGCTGGCGGAGCCATGGTTGCGTTGCTGCCCGCAGGGTCAACCGGACGATCAAACGGTTGTTCGCCCCCTTGCACGGACGGCACTGGGATTATGATGACGGTACGTGACGGCGGTTGATTCTGCCCAAGGCCATGGACCATCCCAAGAACCTCCCCCTCTCGCTCGTCAGGCAGCGGAAGCGTTTGATGAGTGAGTTTGGCTTCTTGGGAGGAGGCGCTCGACGTGTCCTCCCCTCCTTTCTCTAGGTCCATGCCTAGCATGCCACTGTTTGTGGCTGTCCACTGCACCGCACCAGCATGGTCATTCTCAAGGTGAGTGTGCCGCAGGTTGAGCATCGCCTCGGTCCCCACCGCATATGTTGTGAGGCTGGCTGCTTCGTCATTCTCTTACGACGCGCTTTACACCACCTCAGCAAATGCCTTAGGCATTCCGTTGCATGCCACCTCAGCCGCCGTGTCATTGCATGCCGCTGTAGCTGCCGTGCCATTGCTTGCCGCTGCAGCCGCCGTGCCGTTGCATGCTGCTGCAGCCCCTGTGCTGTAGCTCGCCGCTCCACCCGCCATATTGGTGCATGCCGTTGCAGCCGCCGTGCCATTGCATGCCGCTGCAGCCGCTGCACCGTTCCTTGCTGGCCCTGGTTTAAGGTCAAGGCAGTGAAGGCGATGGCGGTATCGTGCCGTTGCAGCCACTTGACCTCCTGATGCGATGATGCAAGTGACACCTTCCTCGGTTTGCAGCTTTGCTCCCTTGTCCAAGAGCTGCCCAGGGGAGACCAAGTTAGCCTTCATTCCTGGCACAAAGAGGACATCATGTAGGGTCACACGCAAGCCGTTAGTGCCCTCCAGCAAAACCTCACCAACACCGGCAACTTCCTGCATAGAACCATCAAACCCTTTGACTGATTTCGTTGCGGATGGGTCACGGATCACCGTGAACCACTCCTTGCGGCCGGTCATGTGTTGGGAGCATCCTGAGTCAAGGAACTTTGCAGCCGAACACGCAACGGTGAGCGCCACGCCCTTCCCGTCTCCTTCAGCTACGTTCGCGGCTGCCGCGGGCGTTGTATCTTTCTTCTTGTTGGGGCACTTGGCAGCCATGTGCCCCTCCTCATTGCAGTTGTAGCAGCGCCCCTTGAAGGGGGCTCGCTTCTTCTCCCGCTTTCCATCCTTCTTCTTGTCCGTCTGCTCCCTTCCCCCTTTGCCTTCCTTCCCGTTGACCCCCGTTGTAGCCACGATGGTGTTGACAGCGCCCAAGAAAGCAGATGCATCGCTGGTGATCTGCTTGTAACTCTCTTCGATGGAGAGAGTCTGCTCCTCCATCAACACCTCGCTACACACGGGTTCCACCGTCATGTCAGGGCTGGAAATTTTGAGCTTGCGGCGAAGAAATCCGTACTCCGGTGGTTGGCCCTTCAGCACGTGGGCGGCAAACGTGGCCATGTGGACCTCCTGTCCAATGGTCAGCAGCTCCGCTCGGATGGTGCGGGCCCTATTGCACTAGGACTCCGCCGTCTCATCATCTCCCTTCCTGAGTTAGGCTAACTGGGTCTGAAGTAGGGAAGCGTGGAGGGCATCACGAACTTGATAAGTAGACAAGATATATGCCCATGCTAGCCGCCCGGCTTTCTCTTGCTGAGAGAAACCAGAGATGGACATTCGGATGGGTGGAGGAACACATCGGTTCAGCACCATGAATGCAAGCATTTGGCCCTTTGCGTACTCCGTTCGTTGCAAGGGGTTGTTTGGGGCCGGGCTTGGTGCTGTCCCGTTGCAAAACTGCCACAAATCAGCACACTCGAGCTGAGGTCGGATGGCGCTGACCCACGCGGTAAAGTCGTGCCTTCTCTTCAGCAGCGGCGTCACGGAGATGTGTTCAACTCCAAACTTGAATTGACCGTAGCTCGTCCCGATCAATCCCGCGTCAATGGTCGGTGCAAGAGCTCCTCCAACAACGCCCACAGCACTTGGAGGCTCCTGCACAGCTCCTCCTTCACCGGTTCCTCCTTGCTGGCCGCTTGCAGGTGCTTACTCCGCCGCGCGCTCTCGAACCATGCGTAGTAGACGACCGTCCACAATGAGGTCGACTTCCTCATCACGCAAGTTAGGGTGGTGCTCACGAACGGACGCCTCCAACTCCTGACGAGCATTCAGGCCCTCGGTGCTCGTTAACCACTCCATCCGTGGTCAAAACGAGCGTCGGCCACACCAACGTGGGAACGAAGTGATGGGAGGACGGAATCAAGCCGCTAGTTGGATCGACGCAGATAACGCAGCCCTGATACCATGTAGAATTCCAGTACTATAGCAGCTTGATAGAGCCCAGAAGCACGATTCCAACAAACCGAAGATTGCAGGAAACGGTCCACTATAGCCAGAGATACACACAAACATAGCAGTGGTAACGACTTGGTTGATTTCTGGTTTGTGCTCTCTAGTTTTATACTAGGACGCAATACAAAATAGAAGCACACAAGAAAGTGTCGACCCGGGTCGCACGTTGAATTTTGTCGCCGCGAAATTCGAAGCCTTGAATTTCGCCGAGCGAATTTCATTGACTGGAATTCCATAGACGAGAATTTCCGCGACAAGAATTCCGTCGACCACCGACTGTAACTCCCGTGCGAATTCCGTTGACTTCGATACTTCGCTGCCGAGTTTCAAACCGAACGCGACCCGAGATCGACTTTGCCGAACTGTCCCCAATATGTACCCAAACTGTCCCCAATCGGTCTTGACAAGACACTTTCGGGACACTTGAATCGAAAGGTCTCCACTTCGAAACCCGTGTGCACCATAACCAGCGCCTTAGCAGATCCTGTCCTGAATCTGTCCTGAAACACTTTCAGGACAGATTTGAAGGTCACGAGTTCGAATCCCAGCGCAGATATTTTGTTGCTCATGGCAGCATTTCCATCTAACAGTGTCGTAGGTGTGTGCAGCAGACCCATCAAGAACTCAAGGATGAGTTTGTGGTGAAGAACCAGAGCCTTGGTGTCAAGATTCAAGTGATCGTGAAGCCCACGAAAAAATGGTACACCTCAAGGTATTGAAGATAGTTACATTACTTTGTGTAGTGTAACATTTCACTTGGTGTAGGCCCTAGTGAATGGTATTTTCGAGACCCTTCGTGGTTGGTGACAGTGTGGCACTGTTCCACATCATTGTACCTCGGCTCTTGAGGTTTGTAGGAGCTGGGAGTCATTCCCAACTCGTAACTCTTCCTATCTTGTGTTCCAAGACTATAGTGGTTGCAAATAGTGCCGCTCGTTCAAACCAACGCTGTGTTGTCAATACTTGATGAAATCGTGCGATCTAAATTGCATAATGTAAGCGACAGTAAGACGCTTAAGATCCAAGTTGAATCAGGTCATTTGAAGCTGTGACCAGAACGCTATGATCGTTTGAAGCCGCTGTGCAGAAATCCGACTGTGCACTCTATCATTCGTTTTAGGCACATTGAAGCCTATTGTGTGCATAACAAGTGGTTTCAGAGCCCCTTGAGCAGCTACGACAATGGCTGGACCTGAAGAAAGGGGTGACAAAGTTGCTGGAGGCAGTGGAGGATCCCAAGCACAAGGTCAACCCTGTGATTCAGCCATGGCGCCCGTGCAACCAAGTGTTGGCCCATCTAGGGATGAGGCTAGAGTGCTTGGCCTTGACAAGTTCAACGATGACAACTTTGCTGAATGGTCCTTCAGAATGGAGAATGTGTTTGATCACTATGATCTGCTGGAGGTGATGGAAGGAACAGAGAAGCGTCCCGAGAACGACCCGGAGAGGAGCTCGTGGGTGCGGAAGAGCGCACAAGGCTATCTCCTACTAGGGCAAGCGTTGGGGAGTAGCCAAATCCGTCACATCAAGTCATTCCAGTGTGAACCAGAGAAGGGACCAAAGGCATGGGCTGCTCTCAAGGGTGTACACGCTTTTGCAACAGCGGCGGTAGATGTGGTGTTGGAACGGCAAATTTGTCATTGAAGAGGATGAAGCGGTTTAAAGTAGCGGTATATATTTGGGAGGGGAAAGGCCAAAAGTTGATAAAAAGGTACATGGTGGTAACCATATTACAGGATCTCTCGACTTCTAACACAGTGACTAGTTCAAACCCAACCCCTCTCACATGACTCACTCGTCAAAAGTTTATACCTAACCAAAAGTATACTGAAGGACGTGCCTCCTCTCCACTGTCCCCACTCCCAAAGCGTGCATAGTCATCACTAAAAAATGTAACTTCCAAAAGCACTGCAAGCCATTGCAATTGTAGTGCTTCTCACGCTTAGGTCATACGCCGACAGAGCCATTGTTTATTTTCTAAAACCTAATACGCGGAGCATTTCGCATCAAAAGTGAGAATGCATCCATGGCGGCGCCTTAGCCATTCTCTTTTCTGCGGCCCGATTCCCCTTTCGTGTCGTCTGGTGACCCTTCCTACCGCATGAAACAACGCGAGCGCCTGCTCTTATACACGAGATAGCCCCTGGGCGAAAGCGAGGCGTCTCTGGCACGCTGTGCTGACGCGTGCGCTATGCAGATGTAGTGTCGCTTTGCTGCGGGCGTTTTGCTGGCGTGCGCTGATCTGCTGAGGGCGCAATGCTGACGCGCGCTGTGCAGGCTCGCGCGGAATGCAGGCACGCGTGCGATGCTTAAGGGGAAAGCGCGATAGTTGCTGCACAAGCTGCAGCTTCTGCGCGCTTTTGCTGGTCGTTTCAGAGGCGAGGCTTGAAATGCGGCTCCCTAATTATTCACCCGCGTCTTCGTGCGTGGTTGCGCTGCTGGCTTTGCACCTTCCAGCGCGCGCCTTGGCTATTTCTACCTGGTCTTTTAGGTTTTAGTCGCCTATTCTTCGTAGTGCGTGAGGGTGGCAGATGAGGTGGGTGACGGGAGCATTGAACCATTTTGTGACTCACAACCAACCCAACCCTGGTTCCCCCACAACAGAAGTGCCCTAGGTCTTTGCCAAAAACTATCACCCCCCTCATTTTTTTTCGTTGAGGCAAAATCGTGTTGCACACTGTACAGAAGCAGCAGTACTGTCAAATGTATATCGCTGCTTTAAGAAGGGGTGCAGAAATTCTTCGACTTGTTGACGCGACTTGAAGGAGCAGATTTGAACTACAGTAAGCTCCAGAAGAAGACCAACTTGCTGGCCCTACTCCCGGAATCGTGGTCCTCGCTCATCATCAACTTGAACCGTGATCTGCCCCGTCTCTGGCTTGAAGACGTGAAGCGCGCGATCCTTCAAGAGGACTTCCGCCGCCGTGAGTTGGCGAGTGCGGATGGCGCTGTGGCAGCGAGCGTCGGCCGTGGATATGGCCGTGGAAGAGGCAGAGGAAGAGGGGGAGGAATGTTTGGTGGCAGAAACTTCAGCGGAGGCCACAGAAGTGGCGGTTACGCCAGTGACAACAAGAGCTACGGAAGCGGTCGTGGCCGATTTGACGGCGAGTGTCATTATTGCCACAAGAGCGGACATATGTGGCGCGATTGCTACAAACTCCCAGCTGGATGGACCCTTGCTCAAGGCCAGGAGGGTAGAGGAGCAGGAGGAGGGAGAGGAAGAGGCCGTGGAGGCCGTGGCGGTCGCGGAGGTGGTGCTGCAAACATGAAGAGTGGAGATAACGACGAGGACTCGAGCGGAGATCGGTACCCGGGTCAATTCTACTTTGTGTCAACGCAAGCACCGGCTGCACCAGAAAAGGATGAAGACTTTGAAGATTCTGCAGCTGTGGGAAAGGTCACCCTACACCCCCTAGACTATTGGGTGATCGATAGCGGCGCTACCTATACCATGACACCTCGCGCGGACTTGCTCACCGAACTTGAACCGTCACCAGTGAAGCATGTCACATCGGCTTTGGGGCAGCGAGCAGAGGTGAAAGGCATGGGCAAGGCCATGTTCAAGGGTGCTGATGGGAAGATGATGGGCCTCAAGAACATGCTTTGGGTGCAAAGCCTTGCTGCGAACCTGATTTCCGTGCGGCGGTTGGCAAAGGCCAGCATGGACACGAACTCAAAGGGAGCCAAGACTTACACCGCGAGGCTTGGTGAGCGGATTCTATGGGACCTTCACGAGGATAGGGATGTCTACAACGAGATGTGGCAGATCCCTGTGGTCCCCATGCCTAGGGAGAGGCAAGTGGCAGCAAGCGTCAGCACCAAGGGTGAAGCGGTTGGTAGTGTTGATGGCGCGAACGGTCGCGCTAAGGAGAACGAGTCCAAGAAGAGCAATCTTGGAGGGACCAGCAAGCTCGGTGACCATAACAAGTGTGGTGCAGCAGCACAAGGTGAGGAGAACCCCGAGGCAGCAGCGGAGGAGGACTACGGAGAGAGCATGTGGGGCGCTATTGCGAGCGCGGCATTCTCCAATCCGACTTCGGCTACGGGGGAGTGTGATTGGCTTACCTTGCATCGGCGAATGGGGCATGTGGCCCTGCCTATCTTGCAGC